ATCAGAAGCTACTCTTTTTTGTGTATGCGGTGGTCATTATCGTGCGTATCTCTATCACACAACTTTCGCCAATTCAACCGTTGACAGGTGTACAACTTTGTGGGCAGCAATCACAAAACTAGGCGATGCGCATTCGTGTGATTTCTCCATCACCACTAACCACCCCCACCTTTTCCTAGTGGCCTTTTTTTTTTTTTTAAGCAGAGAACTAAGGGGCTGCCAGGACCACATGTAAGTTTCTGTAACCCATGGGGAATTGAGAAAATGTCCCGAGGATGCACAGTCACATCAGAGAGAAAGGAGGTGAAGGCCCACAAAGGCAAGCTCGGGAAGGGGCTCCGACAGCAGGGCCACTTCCGCTGTGGCGCCCACGTGCGAGTGTGTAACGTGACAGGAACTGCAGTAGGTCAGGGTGTTTCTGATTATTTTTCCAGTGGGATGAGTATGCCTGATGACAGACTTACCACATTCCCACTTCTTCCATAAATCACCATCTACTTCCCTCCAAGTACTTCCTTGCTTTCGGCCTCTTGCCCTCATGTCACCCTTGTGCCACTTGATTTGTGTCACTTCCGACTCATAGCAATCCCGCTCGTTCTGTACATCAGGAAGAAACACGGCCCGGTCTGGTGCCATCCTCACCACTGTCTTTTGTTTGACATCATCGTTGCAGCCACGGTGTCCATCCACATGGTTGAGGGCCTTCCTTTCTTGTTGCTGCCCTTCTACTTTACCAAGCATGATGTCCTTCGCCAGGGACTGGTCTCTGCCGGTAACACAGCCAACGTACAGGAGATGAAGTCCTGACGGCCTTGTTTCGAAGGAGCATTTCAGCTTTGTTTCTCCCAAGACAGATCTATTTGTTCTTTGGGCAGTCCACAATACTTTCAATAGTCTGTATCAGCGTGTAATCCGAATGCATTGATTCCTCTTCGGTCTTCCTTTGTCAGTGTCTGACTTTCACTTGCATATAAACCAAACCGAACCCACTGCTAGCCAGTCGATGCAGACTCGTGATGACCCACGGGACAAGGTAGAACCGCCCCTGTCAGATTCCGACACAGTCACTGGTCATGGGAGTAGAAAGCCCCGTCTTTCTCCTGAAGAGCGACCGATGGCTGCCAACTGCCGACCTTGTAGTTGGCAGACCAACTGGTAAAAATACCATGGTTTAGGGCAGGTGCACCTCCGTCCTCAGAGCAGCTGCTTTGCGCTTCAACACTTTGAAGAGGTCTTGTGCAGCAGATTGACCCAATGCCATGCTTACTTTGATCGCTTGACTGCTGCTTCTATGAGCATTGATTGTGGGTCCAAAAAGGTGAAATCCTTGACAACTTCAGTCTTTTCTCCATTTACCTTTAAAAATAGCACTATTTAAAAAATAATAATATGCTTGACACAATGAATGTTTGTATGGATTGTGATAAGGGCTGAAAGAACCTCCAGTAATATGATTTAAAATAATAATAAAAATTAAAATAGCACTATTTTGAAAAACCACAGTTTTTTCCTGACTACCAAGAGAAGAAAGCCATACTGTGTGTCATTCAAAGGCTTTCTACCAGTTTTCCCACTTGTCTTTTTACTGTATTCATTGTATATATTTTATTTTATTCAAACTGCCCCCTCATGTTGCCTATCTTTACTTTTAAAAAATTAACAGTTTTATTGACATATAATTCATATACCATACAATTAAGTGGTTTAAAGATATTTAAAAGGGTTGTGCAATGATCACAATTAGCCTTAGAACCTTTTCTTCAGCCTTGTACTCATTATTAGTAGTTCTCCACTTTCCCCCAGCCCCCTGTCCTAACCCTAAGAAACTACGAATACAGTTACTGTCTCTATATATTTACCTATTCTGGATTTCATATAAAGAAAATAATATATCCTCCCCCTAAAAAATCACCCACAGAAGAACCTCAATCCTAAAGAAAGCAGAAAATAATTAAAGCTAGAACAAAACAAATTTAAAGTGGGTCAAAAGGGAGAATAAATGATAAGGTATTACATTAACATAATTACATTGCATGAATCCACTTTCCAATTCAGTCTGTCTGATAGCAAGGCCTATCCATATTCCTGACCAATGGTCCAGGGAATTCTCTGGAGACTTAATCTATATATGGATTAGATTAATCTAGATATGGATTACAAGATCTGCAAATGGATTTTGGGTTTTCACTGTCATCCATAACCTTCTGCAAACTGGATGTTCAGAATTTAAACTCTAATACAATTCCCTCCGCCAGTCCTGGATTTTATTATTTATAATCCTTGGATCATGCAGGCTGCTGTGCTTCTTCCCTGTGGGCTTAGCTGGCTACTCCCCATTTGTCTCTTACCATGCCCTGGTAGCCAGGCAAGTCATGCTCTGAGCTATAGTCATGGTTTCTTCCCCCATGTAATGCACCCTCTACTCTTCCATACATTTCTAGCCCCTCCTACTCATTCAAGTCCCACCTCTTCCATCTCTGTCCATACAGATCTCTCCTTGCTATAAGTTCCTGTAGCACATACACTGTATACTTCATCTTGGCAGTTTATTTCTCGGGTGCTTGGTATGTTTGTGGGGCAACACTAGACGTTTTGGAGACCCAGAAAGAGTAAGTCGAATAAGGTCCTTGACCTGAAGGAGGGACCCTTACTATTTTGTCGTGATACATCACTATTTCTTAAGGGCAAGTCTTACCTCTCCAGTAAAATACAAGCGTTCAAGTTCTCCAGACACATCTTGCTTATCTGGGGAAGTTCTGGTGACATAGTGGTTACACATTGGGCTGCAAACCACAAGGTCAGCAGTTCGAAGCCATCAGTCGCTTCAAGGGAGGCCACTGAGGCTTTCTACTCCTATTAAAAGTTACAGTCTCGGAAACCCACAGGGGTAGTTCTACACTGTGCATGTGAACGTTACCCATTGCATAGGGAAGACCAAAGAAGAGTCGATATGTTTGAATTATGGTGCTGGTGAAAATGATCGACAGTACCACGGGTTGTTAAAAGGACCAAAATCTATCTTGAAAGAAGTACAACCAGAATGCTCCTTAGATGCAAGGATGGTGAGACTTCATCTCCTGCACTTTGGACATGTTGTCAGGAGAGACCAGTTCCTGGAGAAGGACATCATGGTTGGTAAAGTAGAGGCCAAGCGACAAAGATGGATGGACACAGTGGCTGCAACAATGGCTTCAAACATTTGAACAATTGTGAGGGTGGCACAGGACCGGGCAGTGTTTCGCTTTGTTGTACACAGTCAGAACCAATTCCATGGCACCTACCACAGGTATCGATGGTAACAGGTGGTACAATGGTTAGCATGTGCAGCAGCTACCCGGAAAGACTGCTGGGTGGAGCATATTTCAGAAGCACCAGGGCACAGCTTGGCTGCCCCACGGGTGCTGCCAGTTTGATTCCACTTGATGGTCACAGTTTTTTTCGCACTAGGATTTCAGAAAGACTTGCTAAGTGGAATGGAAACCTCTATGTTACCCGTTAGGGCCAGTAACTGAAGTATAAAAGCCCCTAAAAGTATATTTGCCCCTAAAAGGTCAAACCTAAGAGTTAGTCCGACTCTGCTCGGCCATGAGTTAGTCTTCCAGGGCGACATGGGACTGGAAAGTTGTTCGGTGCGAATCCACTCTTCTGCCTGGCCCTGTGGGGGACAAAATGATCCGGGGAGGGAAGGGGACAGAAACACCAGGGTCCGTCCGTCCGTGGGAACCACAGGTCAGCCTCCACACGTGTAGTAATACAGACTTGCTGTTGTACACCGGGCGTACACAGGCCGGCTTCCACGGGTAACAAAGAGCCCTCGGGCAGCTGCTAAGTGACCCTGAGGCCGTCTCTTAGGTCCCCAGAAAGGAGGCACCGGATCTGGCGGGAAGCAACGGGAGAAACAGAGCCACCGCCCCCCACCCGGGCTCCCTGTTTCTCCAGACACTGTGCAACAGCGAACCCCAAGCAGGGGAGACTGGCAGAGCTGGGGGTCAGGAGTGTGGAAGCGGCCCCCACTCCACTGACTGCAGCTCCCAGCCCTCACGCCGCGCCCTGCGGAGGCCCAAGCCCCTAGTTCCTCTGGCCAGTCCAGACGTCCGCTGGGTCTCGGGCCGCTCGGGGCCACCTTTGTCCCCGCACCCCCGCCTCTGGCCCAGGGACGAGGGCGATGGCTGGATCAGCAACCCCCACCACCCCCGCCCCG